TAAACAGACACTACTAGCATTAATAATTTTCACAGATGAGAGTGACAGGAGCGTTGTCCAATATTCTTTTCAAGGAAGATGATGCCGTTGATCGATCTGCGGCCACCGTACTGTCTTCCACGGCCATTAACGCCATTACGTTCTCAGAAAATAGAGGGACTTACCCACTATGCTTCTTGTGTCTACCGAAAATACATTCAGCATCAAGCGTCCCATTAGTTATTGATAACTAAAGGTAACAAGGAGGCCTCAGATCTGTCACCTTTTTTCATATTTAACATCCTTCCTATTCATCCAAGTGAAAAGACAAATAAGGCGAACTTAGTTAGCATAAGGGCTGCTGAAGGAACAACAATGTATTCGGTGCTTGATTAATTATTTCATTATCTTTTTAATTACAGAATATAATGAGTCACACAAGAAGTATAAATAGTAGTACATACCTGTAGTTGAGAATCGTGATGTTCGGTTGTAAAAATGATTTTTCGACCCGGATATGCAAAACTTTTAATTTATCGATATTGTAATCACTATGTAAAAATAAAGATGTTCTTATTCATTTTTGTACTAGCAACATGGACTAACAATACAATTATTACAAAGGTTCCGTTCTGGGTTTATTAGCACGATCTTGTTTGAGATGGAACATATGATAGGACTTGAAATAGTCGTATTCATGTAGACTATACGGTATCAACAATCAACAGATAATTTATTTTTAGTTTTAAATCTGAATGTGATGTGCAGATAAAATAGCCAGATATTAAAAAATGTAAACCTAATAGTTGCAGAGTTTCATTTCGCTGGATTTGGAGAAAATTTGTACAGCATTTATACAAAAATAAAACTTGAGATTTCATGTCTGAAAATCATTGGAAGACGTATAACTTTTGGTTAAGCAACATGCTGGCCTCAAACATACCTGTAGACATATCGTCGCCTTTCTCACGAAGTGTCCTAACTGACAAAGTACCAAAAATTGAGATAACCCGCATATAGGTGTATTATTCCATGCTGGTTAATCTGACGAAGATGCATAACAACTATATATCTATAAGTGTAAGCAACACACCATTAAAATCCCTGGGGGTCTTATCTGCAAAGGTAAATATATAATTCTCACGAAGAGAAATGAAGATAGGTCTCTCAGTGTGAAATAATCCATAGTATACGCACCTCGATGGTCGATCAAGGTCAAAGTGAGAGAGACTCTCCCCATAGTGCAATTCATAGGGCGATAAAGGGAGCTGGAGATTTTTTTGAACCCTCACAAGTCTAACCAGTTTTTCGATTGGTCAGACGACGTCAACCTTATTTAGTAATCCCAATGAATTTTTGAGATTTTATTGAGTTCAAGAAACTTTCAAAAGATTTAAGAATGTTATCCACATGGCAAACTAAGAAATGGCAAAATATTAAATGGACGGGCATTATCAAGTTTATGGTAAGAAAAGACATGTCCACCACAATATTTTTTAAGTCTAGCCTCCACGACACTAATTATGACAAAAGACTGACGCGAAATAGTAAATGATAAATGATATTAAACTAGAACTACTTAATAAGGATCCAGTAAAGATAACAAAAAAGGAGTACTCCGACTTAATTTCGTTATGTGAAGATCCAACACCCGTTGTACGCTTACCAGAATTTCAATTTTTTTTTTAGAAATTTGCCCCATCAAACGGAATGAATTATCCATAATTATGCCTTCGCTTTTTTGTGTATCATATACATCAACATTAGCTGGTAATATGTCAAAAGATAATATTCAAGTTAGTTGTTTTTCTTTTCCTTTTCAATAAAAATTGTTTGACGTTTCGAGTTGTTTTCGACATTCCATCACCTAATATTTGTGTCATAATCTACATCAATTTTATGATATTCAGGGAAATTATGTAGGAAGTAGCAAAAATTCAAAAGTCGATCTGAACTTTTTTACATAAACTCTGCTGTCCGACGATTAATTAAAAAATTAAACAATTAACAAATTTTCTGAGATAATCGCCTCCTTGGCTGGAAATATGATTCTTTGCTTATAAGTAAATCAAATAAATTCTGTATAACTTAAAAAAGTATAATAACAAGAACTTTAATAAAAATATATATCTGATAAAAAGCTTCTGAAAATTCTCACGAAGTGACCTCTATGTGCGTTTTCAATTTTTTTCCAAAATAACATGATAAGTTACCGCAAATATTGGAACAGAATATGATCGACAATGAATATGGGCTGATAAACTGAAATTTTCAATTCGGAAATACAGGGTGTCCGCAAAGTTGGGGTTTTCCTTTACACGACGTGTACATCTTGAAAACATAAGCAATTTTTCTTAGTACCATATACACCAATGTCTTAAGGGAACCGAGATAAAGGGCTCTGCAACATCAAAAATATCTGAATACCGTCCTGTAGCTGCAACATCTCCGACTGGTACTAGGACACTAGCTCAACCCGACGACAGAACTGGGTCGGGGTCAGTGTGTCAGGTCAGTATGCAACCTACAACAGACGGTTACGGTCACGCGTCTAGAGGTAATCGCGTAGACGAGAATCCCTCAACAAGCACTACAGAAGTGCAAGTATCAAAAACTAAAATGTGGCAAACGCTGCGTGAAGAGGGGCTGTATCCGTTTCACGTCCAACGTGTACAAGCCCTTCAACCTGACGATTTTCCAGCAAGAATGCGGTTTTGTGAGTGGTTGTTGCATCAACATGACAATAATCCGGACTTTTTGAAGTGCATATTGGTGACAGACGAATCTACGTTCACGCGTAATGGGGCGAATAACTTTCGCAACACTCATGTTTGGTCAGTAGAAAATCCGCACGCTGTCCGTCGGGCACATTTTCAACAAACATTTTCGGTGAATCTTTGGCTGGCATGGTGAACGGTATGCTCATTGGACCATTTATTCTCCCAAATCGATTGGACGGGATGCAATACCTAGACTTTTTACGCAACATTTTGCCTTCCTTGTTAGAAGATGTGCCATTAAGTGTAAGACAATCAATGTGGTTTCTGCGTCTGCTTGGTAGCGCATCAGCTGATTTCATTTTCTGTTGGAGCGGTATGATTTCGGGCAGAGACGTACTTAGCCCTTCTCGTCAACTGGAGAGTGAGCACTTTTTCCTTTATTTTTTTTACTTGGTCGCCCTCGTTTCACTACACATTACCTTTGTTATTTCAAGGGTAGTTGTTTCTGAAAAGGAAAACCCCAACTTTGCGGACACCCTGTATATAAACTTTACATACAATGCTCATTCATCCACACGCTGATTTCGTTTTCTTGCTCTCCTGTAAAATTTACTAAACGTTGGTTAGGACACTTAGTGAGAAAGCCTATCATATGTTTATACTGGAACTTTCCTAAAATTTCTACAAAAGTACTACTTGGCATTTTTCAAATACCCTGTATTTGGGAGAACGTCCTTTGGAAACTCTACCATTAAAAGGTAACCATACAACCAATAAATAACAGTTTAATTTACAAAAAAGTACTTTCAAATAAATTTCACCTATTCTCAAATTTCTGATATAAAAAATCGTCGGAAAGCACACAAACAAAATAAAGTCCCATTAATACACCGAAATGGAATTAATAAAGCGTTTCCTTATCGGATTACACACTTTCGAACAATATTCTGGTGGGCCGGATGAAATATGAGATATCTTCAAAGCCGGCATGGTGTAGAAGAAATCCTGTTAGGTGGCAAACGGGCACGTCAAAACGTTCTTAGAAAAACATGGGAGGAGTTTTTTCGATTATATATTTTATGTGATTTTTACGATGTATCTGCCGTGAGGTATTTGGTGTGATGATTTATTTAGATATGCCTAATTTACATAAACTGCTATTAAATCTGTGTATTCTTGATGGTATTTTTCCATTTTTATGTCAAAGCAGCCACGAATAGAAAATATAAATAATACGAACGCCGCAAGAATTTGTTGATACTAATTTAGAACTAGAAACAATCAGTACATCAGAAGAAATGGCAGGTAACCATTTGTAAACGCTTCCACGAACAAAAGGTAGGTTGTTGTCTGTTTTAATGGTAGTGACTTTTTAGTGCAACGAAAGTAACGAATCGTTAAGACTTCCGATACGTTATTTTTGAGTGTGACAGCAAACAAGGATGGTTGGAAAAACAAACAAGAGTTTTTTTGGCCACTAAAGTGAACCGTAGTAATTCGGCAGCACTGACTACTGACAGTCATGACTTAGTTCTTTTATCGATTTTGACGTGAAGCTAACCACAAAATTTCAAGATTTTATTCAATTTTTTCATGGAAAAGTTTCTCTAATATTTGTATCCAAACCGGATAAGGAATGAATAACCGATATGTTTTCATAACTTACATGCTTTCCTCAAGCGTCGGATATTCGATAAATCATCCAGTGCATGCAGTTCAAAACAGCATAATAAAAAAAAAATCGTGCTTTGCTAACTACCGTACCGTATTTATTCAGAAGAAATGGCAGAATTTATGGTGTTTTTTAAACGTTTCATATTGGTTCCTGCATTTGCCTCGTTCAGTCTATGTTGTTCTTAAGAACTTTATTTTTTTGTAACATGTGTATTTTTTCCTATTTTCTTTGTGGTTAAGGTAGGAGTAGCTGTTTGGCTAAACTTCGACACGCTGCAAGGAATAAAGGCATTATTATTATTGTTTTTTTTTTCACTGCCAGCTAGATTCTTTTACGGGATTATTCTTGAAAGTTTTATTTTTGTTTGTTCTTGTTTTATTGTGTAGGTATATTCAATTATTTTTGTTTCTCTTCCAGACAGTGGTGTTCGCTGTAAGAGTAGCTGTAGTAGATGGGATTTCAAAAGTCCTTTATTATTATTATACCGCTAAGACAAATCTTTAACAAAGTCATAACAGTTAAATTTTACCAAAAAGTTGCTAAACTTCGTAAAAAACAGTTATCTGAATGAGTTAACGCAGCCATGGGAATAAATATTCTCTAAATTAATAATCTACGCATTTTTACCTGGTAAGGGTTGTTATCTAGAGGTGCTGACTGTTGAGGAACCTGACTGCGTCGCTGTGACGAATTGTGGCGTCGCGACTGCATGTGGAACAAGACTACGACGCCGCCTCACCATTTCTGGACACCTGAAAGAAAAAGATAATAACTTATCAAGTGAAAATTAAGAGTATATTAACCATGCAGCAATACTCTCAGCAAGCTTGAAACAACTGTTAGAATTTTGCCAGCTCCAGAGGAGAGAATTTAATATACAGGGTGTCCCAAACGCCATGTATCAAACAAAAGGGGGGTGATAGACGGGTCAGAAAACCATATGTCCTGATCCGATTGAGCATGATTTCTAGTTATCGCCATTTTTAAGTGTTTTTAAAAACAGCTAGTTCTGAGGCTATACTATTTTTTCTAAAGTTATGTTATTTCTCAATAAATTTTATAGGATATGTTCCCTAAAGTTCACAATATGGATATTTTCGAGATTTAGGGTACCTTCAGTATTTTGCCCATATTGCTCAAGAACTATTTCGGGTATTTGATTATCTATGAGGTATTTTGGAAGGCCATTATTATTATCACAATATGTAAAAGTTTTTTCATAAGTATGGACACTGTATCTGCCCAGCAACTTTTTGTACGACGTTAAATATGCTGTAATATTTTTTGACACTAGACAACATTACGGTTCAGTCATTTGCTATACCTACATTAACTGGACTAATTTTTTACCGACGAGCTTTTTCAACGATACTCCATTCACATATTCTGTAAAGCTCATCCAGAACTAACAAAAAATTGCTCCAGAAAAATAGTAAAGTCTCAAAAGTAGCGATTTTATACAAATTCCTAAAATGGCGATAACTCAAAAACCATGTACAACCTGATAAGGACATATATGGTGTTTCTGATTGGAAATAACCCCCCTATCAGCTCTTTTCGTTTGATCCATGAATTTTGGGACACCTTGTATGCAAAATGCGGGGTAGGTTTACAAAAAAAAAAGATTACTCGGCTATATATAATAATAGTTCTATCTTCTGTAACCTGGTGATATATTGCGCTATGCTGTGTGCATAGTACGGGATTGCCTTAGGGTTCCTTTCCCTTCACACCTCGTGATAGTCGGGATGTGCACAAACATGAATCTTCACCAAGGTGAGAGGAATTTATGAGGCATGCACCTGCGCCTCTATCATATATACGATTTTCATATATGACATATAAAGAATTAAAATAAAAATCGGAACTATTTAATTTCATCATAAAGATATTGGAGAAACAAGTCTTAATGGTCAATACAGTATTAATATTGAACGACTCACGCAATTTTGGATTAAAATATTACATACCGCACATCCCATGAGTCGAGATTTTATTCATACTATTGGGTAGTGTTGTGTTTTGAAAACTGATAGTGTTAATTATAGTTGTTATGATCTGGCGTAACGAAATCAAGGAAGTCACGTACATGTCTACTACTGCATACTAAATTCATTTTGGTATAATTGCAACCGGTAGAAAACTTAAATTGATTTTCAATGAGCGTTAAATGCGGAGGGTCCAGTGGAATATTAAATATGGAATAAAAGAAGCTTAAGCACTGCTAGATTTTCTCCCGAAAATGCGTTTTTACCGTATAAGTGTTCAAAGTTCACATCTAGGATTACAGGACGGGTATCAAAATAAGCCAAATCACAGATTCACTGGTCAAACATTAAGCTGTTTTACAATTAATGTTAATCTGAGTATTTTTCACTACTTAAAATTCCGAGCCAAAATTGCGACCTAATAAATTTTTAATATAACAATAAGTTTTCAAACGTACCCTACTTCTGCACTGGCTAATTTGGACAAAATAGTTTTTTAATGAACGAATATAAACTACGTTTTTTCTTCGACACAGGGATGTATCAAACTGCAAATATATTAAAAATGGAATGTTGTCTAGTGGGTATGCTACATCACTAAGGCTTTAGATATCATAATTGAATAACTCCCGGGATTCACCAAACATCACAAAATAATGAGAAAAAATGGCGCCATCTAGATTGACACGCCTTTGAAACAAATTCGAGTACAATTTTTTGTGTAAAAAAATAGCATCAACAATACGTAGGTTTTCTCAGAACCGTTAGTGCACTTTTGGGCTTTCCATGAAAAACAAAAATCAGATTTCAGCAACGTGCATGTTCGCTCTAGTGAAAAACTATCAACAATGTTTGATAACTGTTTATAATAGCTCTTGATACGAACTCATAGGATATAATATACTTGCTATACAACTATATACTATGAAATATTACCTCACGAAATCAAGTAACCGCCTTGAAATACTCTCCAAGCATAACGCTCGTATATACAGGGTGTCCGCAAAGTTGGGCTCTTCCTTTTCAGAAACAACTACCCTTGAAATAACAAAGGTAATGTGTAGTGTAAACGAGGGCGACCAAGTAAAAAAAATAAAGGAAAAAGTACTCACTCTCCAGTTGACGAGAAGGGCTAAGTACGTCTGTGCCCGAAATCATACCGCTCCAACAGAAAATGAAATCAGCTGCTGCGCTACCGAGCAGAGGCAGGCAAACAAGGAAGGCAAAATGTTGCGTAAAAAGTCTAGGTATTGCATCCAGTCCAATCGATGTGGGAGAATAAATGGTCCAATGAGCATACCGTTCACCATGCCAGCCCAAACATTCACCGAAAATGTTTGTTGAAAATGTGCCCGACGGACAGCGTGCGGATTTTCTACTGACCAAACATGAATGTTGCGAAAGGTATTCACCCCATTACGCGTGAACGTAGATTCGTCTGTCACCAATATGCACTTCAAAAAGTCCGGATTATTGTCATGTTGATGCAACAACCACTCACAAAACCGCATTCTTGCTGGAAAATCGTCAGGTTGAAGGGCTTGTACACGTTGGACGTGAAACGGATACAGCCCCTCTTCACGCAGCGTTTGCCACACTTTAGTTTTTGATACTTGCACTTCTCTAGCCACGTCTCTAGTGCTTGTTGAGGGATTCTCGTCTACGCGATTACCTCTATACGCGTGACCGCAACCGTCGGTTGAAGGTTGCATACTGACCTGACACACTGACCTCGACCCAGTTCTGTCGTCGGGTTGAGCTAGTGTCCTAGTACCACTCGGGGATGTCGCGGCTACAGGACGGTATTCAGATATTTTTGATGTTGCAGAGCCCTTTATCTCGGTTCCCTTAAGACATTGGTGTATATGGTACTAAGAAAAATTGCTTATGTTTTCAAGATCTACACGTCGTGTAAAGGAAAACCCCAACTTTGCGGACACCCTGTATAGATAATATCGCGCCCACCTCGTATGTGCATATCGTATTGCCGCGCCGTCTGCTACTTGCTTTTATAAGTCACTCGGACCGACTACCAAAGATGCATTATTTACAACCCCTTGGCGCACTTTTAGTGCAATCGGTAGGTGACGGATCCGTCTGCTGGAAATATTTCTAAGGCGAAATTTACGGGAAGATCTATGATGTGTATTAATATACCAACATAAGAAGAATTGAGAGACATCCTCCCCGAACCCAACCTCCAATTTTTAACACATAAATTTTTGTCTGAAAATGATCAGGACCCACTGAAACGTGAAAAAAAGAAGTTTGAGCATTTTATTTTTTTCGTTTTTAGCCATTCACGCCGTCGCCACTGTCCGATTATCAAACACTACAAAACTTTAACGGACAGACAGAATGAGTGACATGACACGGTTTTTCGTGATGTACACGTCAAATAACATCCAGAAAAGAATATTTCATTTTCGAAATTCAAAAGTAGATATATTTTTGAGCTGCAAAATATTTATCCCGCTTATGCCTCACAAAATCACATGAACCACAAAGTAGTTCGGATGACTATAAAATAGGTAGAAGTTGTTCGAAAACTCTTACCATAAAATCCTATAAAAAAAGAACTAAAATGCTGTTTAAATCATATCAGAGAGTGCATTTATGCAGCAGTCTGGTCAGATAAAGCATATCAATATTTCACTGGAAGTGGGCGTACGCCACATACTCAATTTACTAAGCACAATTCAAAACTACATTTGAATCGTTCATCGCACACGAGATGAGAGTGCCGTCATCTTCAAAGAAGTAGGTGAAAGAAAAAAACTTGCAAATAGCTATTTTTGATGGATAAAGGCAGCGATATAAGAATACAATGATGGGGATAAACCTTGGGTATAACAATTAATGCAAACAAATAGACAACAGCTTGCAGCATCGTTGCTAATTCGCTTTTGAACAAATAATGCTGTTCGCGGTATCCTCACAGTGCAGTTTGTGTTGTGATCAGTGATTGTTTTGTACGAACTGTACCAGATTGGTGAGTAAATCATGCTGAAAACAACTTCAATGCTACTTTAGATGGTGCTAAGTTAATGAGGCGGTCAAAAATTTGGGAATTCTTTTTGATGAGTGTCTCAAATTCATACCTCATGTAAACAAATTAAAACTGATTTCCGATCTTACGTGAGTTATTTCTGAATAATCAAAGCCTCGATTATCAAACTGAACCAATCTCATGCGAATCATTATGTCCAAAATTACTTACTGTGATATAGTTTGCAATCCATTTTTAGATACAATATCTCTTTCACGTTTACAAGAAATTCAAAATTCATGTTGCAGACTAATACATAATTTGATAAGTGGTACTTTGAGACACCTGGGAAGGCTAAAGGTAAACCTGAATTTTTTTCCAATTGCTTTTTTTAATTTCTTTCAAATTTTGACCAATCTGTCCGGATAGCAGTTCCAAAAAAATCGGTAGATTTTCCAAAACAAGTTTTTTGACTTTTTTAAAATCAATACTGAGCACACCCAAAAAAAATCATCAAACATCAATCAAATTTTATTGGAGGTTTATTCCAGTTCCAGTTTTCAGAAATACCCTTACATTCTCTGGGCCATCACTGGTTACCGGGATATCAATGGTCGATGACAAGGGATCCTTTTTCATTCAAAATCGGATATCTCAACGCCAAATGATCGAATCGAGATTTTAAATATGGAATATTGAAGCTGAATATACGAGTTATCCGATCCATATGATGACCTAACAGTGAAAAAAATTTTCAAGCTCGTGGACTAAAAAGAGAAAGTTGCAACACATTTTTCTTGCGCTATGTTATAATTGCATGACTGTGGCTCCTAAAATTTTTCGACTAAAGATCTGAAAACTAGAATCTTAGAGCGTCAAAATGCTTTTTCCAAAGTCTCGATACGAACATTCTTCACCTAAATACAACCTGCCAAAGATCACCGAAAAATTTGATTATTTTCTTGCTCCCTTAATTTTTTTATGTAGTGTACATAAGTATTTATTTTGTGATGGGTCACAAACTATATGGAAAGAAACGTTACTTTGAGTCTTCAAAACAAAAAATTCAGCCCTCGGCGATTTTCCTAGTGAGATTGGTGATTATATTTTCTCTACTTAGATCCAAATGTTTTTGAACTACGACGCTTCAAAAATATAGATAAATACCAAAATCAAAATTTTACAATCTTTTTTCCGAAAAGTAGACTTTAATAGTACTATAAGGGGCAAAGAACCTTCTTTACGTCATAATAACCAACTTACGATTTCGGAAAAGTCAGACATAAACCTCCCCCAGACTATGCACCTCAACCGAAATCAAGTTCTATATACACGCCACTGTTGCACCATATTGAAAAAATGCCCATCAGAAAGTTTTTTGGCTATATCAAAGTAATACCAAAGAAAAGACAATGGCCAAACATGTGTCCTACTATTTTTTGAAATCAAAGATACGTCTAACCACTTTGTAGTAGTTGACGGTCAAGGGCACACATTCAAACAATTAGGTTAAAAACTAATTAGCGACTGCATTCTTCTGGTCAGAGGTGAGTTTTTATAATTAAGCGAAAGATGCATTTCACCATGATGCGCAGCGTCCTGTTACGTACATGTATTTGCCTTGCCTCACCAACATGCCTACATACCTATCTAACTGCAAATCGACTGTTGTCATTTATTTCTATTTTTCCATCCACGTCTTTGTTATTATTCTAAATGGTTTCTCATCTATACAAAACATAATCAAAATACTAATTTCCATAGCTCACAAACGGCCTTTCCCATGAAACGAATAAAATAAACACCGGTCTATCATTATACTTGCTTCAAGTCGAAAGAATCTGTTATCTTATTATTTCCCTGGTACACGTTGAAGTATCTCCTCCTCGGCTGTTTACTATTCACGTCCACCGAGGAATCAACATTTTAACGTTGCTTCAGGGTCAAGGTTTCCGAAGATATTGGATGGTAATGCGATGGTATATACTTTCTGTTAAGCCGCTAAGAAATCGGTACATACAGCTTTAGATAAATATGCAGGTGATACTTGTGGTTTCTCATGCACATGAAGAAATAAGTATGTTTAGAATATCTGGAACCCTTGGATGTAGCTTTTACTTCCCACACGTACTGGCGAGGAAATATTGTAATCGCGAAAGAAATTCCAAAATGAGATTACGCTTTTTGGATATGTGACATGTATGCTAAAACCATTTGTGTTAATAACTTGGAAAGTGCTGCTCGGATATTGAGCCGTATTTTTCGCCGTCTTTTGCAAAATAATGGGAGCAATGGCAATTTCATCTGCGATGAACTGCAGGTCGTTGCCATTATTTTCTATAGTTTCCTCATCACTTGGGGATGACATGCTTATTAATTTGATAAAAAACTGTATCCAGTAAAAATACGGAACGGTCTGTGTACGCTCTGGAGTACAACTGTCAGTGATGCTGAATTAACGAACTCCCACGTCAACTACAACCTGGAACAAGTCAGGACATGCCGCTCAAGATACAAATATCAGTCAACCTTTTACTTCTTCTTGGAGGATATCCTCGCGAGTATAAGGTAATCATTATGAATATGAAAACAAGGATATGCTTATACTTCTACCTTTTTCTCCAAAGCAAGACCTTATACTTTTACCTTATGCTTCCCAGGCTATGCTTCTCTTTTATGAATACGGCTCATTGATAAAATTTTCACAAAAGATTGCTACTATGCCAAGGACGAAAAAGCTTTTTTCTTATTTAGTTTTCGAAAATCGGTCTAGTGATGGTGAAACTATAGGCAAAAAAATGAAAAAAAATTGCCGGAACCGTTTTTTGACGTTAACACTGGAGGTTGGGGGTTGTAAGGGAGGGAGTATATCTCAAATTCTTGATGTTGGTTAGTTTTTTCAAACAGGTATTTCTCTCGAGAATTTCTCTTGGAACCGACATACTGTTAAAAGATAGAATAAAACACCTTTTTTGGATCTGGCAACGTGAAAATTCGGAAAAATCAAATATCAATCAAGATATCCATTTTTTGAGTATTCCCCAAAAATTCCTTCTTTTTTCGTATAGGGTCCAATGAGCTGTTTGAAAGCGGTAGCACCTCTAAGGACAAGATGAGACTTTGTTCAGGAATTCAGTGTAATTGTCAAACGAAATAGCTCTACTAATATACCAGAAAACGTACTTAGCAAAACTGCATTGGAACTGAATTAATGCGGGTTAATACCGCCTTAGACCAGCTAGCGGACATCTTTCAAATTCATATTCTATATTTGAAATGCTCTCCACGTTAAATAAAAACTATTTACCATCAATGATCTCTTTTCGGCAGTTATTATTATCCAATTACTGCTTCCATTTGGAATATATAAAGCATTGTATCAAGGGTCTCGAAGTTTACAGTCAATATAAAACCATTAAAACCAAAATTTTTTCTTCGGTCTATTAAGTTAATGGGCGAAGATGTTAACTAGTTACAGCCTCTTCGGTAATAAAATTGATACTGGATCGTTGAACTCGAATCTTTTATTGCCATGTTGAATAATTCAGGACAGCATAATGTGGACATTAGCATTTAAAATACTAAAAGACGCCCAAATCTTTCACACAAAAACATTCAACCTTTCGACATTAACAGCTTGGAAGAATGTTTAGTCATATGTAAGAATCGCTTCAATGATTCGACTGGAAGATTGATGCATCAGATATTTGGTACATTATAGGTATCTACGAGCCCCTTCCCACTTCAGTTGGCCCACTTCAACATTTGTACCAAAATATGCCTTTATGATGAAACTGTTTACTTCTAAAACAATTTATTTTCTCAAAAACATTTTAGATACACCCTAGTCGTAAGAAATACATATTTGAAATCACTTAGACCTATAACTAATAGAACATCTGAACAAATAAACAATGTGCGAATAAATGCGCGAAGTTAACAAAGCAACAATTGAAAGATTACCATTGGGTAACATCACCTTTATTTTTATTACGACTGAAATTCTTTGGGGCATAGTATTAACCAAGTTTTGGCAAAAATTTGGTGTACAACAATCCCATATTTCTTGAAGCTTTTGTCTAAGTTCGATGATTGTACGAGCAGGATGTTGTCGTAGAACCTTTTTCATCTCGTGCCACAAAGTTTCAATAGGTGACAGATCTGGACTGCTAGAAACCCATTTCAAAAGTGGTACATTATTTTCTGTTTATAGCCTTTTTTGAGGTATGGCACGCTGCACCATCTTGCTGAAACACAAAATCTTGGCCGGATGTCAAACATTCTTCCATCACTGGTAAAAGCGATTCTTCTAAAATTGCCAAATATTTGTTTGTATCCACATTTCCATCAATAAAATGAAGTTTTCCTACTCCTTTTGATGACATACTGCCCCAGACCATAATGGACGCTGGAAATTTCACTTTTCTCTTCAGACAGTCAACATGGAATGCTTCATTTTTTTGCGAATAACTCTACTACGACTGTCACCAACACAAACTTCGAATCGGGCCTCATCACTCCATTGTAGAGGTGTCCATTGTCTATGTTCTTTAGCCCATATAAGCCGATTTTTCTTTTGCAGTGGAGTTAATAGTGGCTTTTCTTTGGCCTATAAACAAGTTGTGCAACTTTAGGGTTTTTACTTCACTTTTTTTATAAGGAAACTTACCTTGCAAGTGCTAAATCCTAGTTTGTGAGCCTTTCTATGAGTTGTGGACCTCGAAATTCTCCTTCCAACAGCGTCACTCCTCAGAGCACTTAATTGTAAATAATTGGCACGCCTGTTTTCACGATTATTCTTCTTAATGCTCTTCGGTCGGCATTTGTGATATTACTTTTTTTCACATAACGTGGCTTAATATTAACTGAACCAGTTACGTTATATATTCTACCAATATTTCTCACACTGTACCGCGATAAGTCTAACAAAGTTGCAATTTCGGAGTTTGATTTCCCAGAATTAAAAAAAGTAATTATTAGTAACCGAATTTTCTCACTAATAACCTTTCCTCTACCCATTTTGAAAACCTTAACTACCCAAAACTATTTTAAACGTATTCTGACAGCTGTGATTAATAAAAACAATTGTCATGGCTTTTATTTTTCACAGCCACCTATGCATTATAGACTTATTTTGCATGCGGCTGAAGTTCCGATCGATCACGCTCTGATCGAAACGGTAAAAAGGCAGCAGTGACGAAAATTTGCCATTACCACTTCTACTGACGTAATTTAGGTCCAAATAAACATAAATCGATGCGGTTTTCACGTAGTTCGATTGTATTACGGGCTTTCTATGTACTGTAAGAGTTTTATCTCCCTCCTCCAAAATCTTCCTCAAAGTGAGGAGAAACGCGAAAAAATTGATATTACATTAAAATAAACCTGGAGAAATGCGGTTTTCACGTCAATTGATTAGAAAAAGCATATTTTACTTACGCTAAGTTCAAATCCGTGCTATCTCGTTCACAGATACCGCAAATTGACCCCCCTTTAAAACCTAATATTTTAGAAGCTATATAATCATCTATAGCTTTTCAAAACCGCCCAAGACCAAAATGTTTTGGACACTTCTCGCATGTATATGATCTAGTCAATCACACCATATCAGCCGTTTCCCCAAACCAAGTCCGGAACCCTCCGTTTTTGCCCCCTCTTTATTTATACATGACAAATTTGAAAAAATCTATTATTCGTCAAAACAGCCGAAGACCCAAAATTTTTTACATTTCTGGCATCAGTATAATCTACTTTATCACTCCCTACTAGCCGTTTCCCCAAACCAAGTCCGGAACCCTCCGTTTTTGACCCCTCTTTATTTATACATGACAAATTTGAAAAAATCTATTATTCGTCAAAACAGCTGAAGACCCAAAATTTTTTTACATTTCTGGCATCAGTATAATCCACTTTATCACTCCCTACTAGCCGTTTCCCCAAACCAAGTCCGGAACCCTCCGTTTTTGACCCCTCTTTATTTATACATGACAAATTTAAAAAAATCTATTATTCGTCAAAACAGCCGAAGACCCAAAATTTTTTACATTTCTGGCATCAATATAATCTACCTTATCACACCCTACTAGCCGTTTCCACAAACCAAGTCCGGAACCCTCCGATTTTGACCCCTCTTTATTTATACATGACAAATTTGAAAAATCTACTATTCGTCAAAACAGCCGAAGACCCAAAATTTTTTACATTTCTGGCATCAATATAATCTACCTTATCACTCCCTACTAGCCGTTTCCCCAAAGCAAGTCCGGAACCCTCCGTTTTTGACCCCTCTTTATTTATACATGACAAATTTGAAAAAATCTATTATTCGTCAAAACAGCCGAAGACCCAAAATTTTTTTACATTTCTGGCATCAGTATAATCCACTTTATCACTCCCTACTAACCGTTTCCCCAAACCAAGTCCGGAACCCTCCGTTTTTGACCCCTCTTTATTTATACATGACAAATTTGAAAAAATCTATTATTCGTCAAAACAGCCGAAGACCCAAAATTTTTTTACATTTCTGGCATCAGTATAATCCACTTTATCACTCCCTACTAGCCGTTTCCCCAAACCAAGTCCGGAACCCTCCGTTTTTTACCTTTCTTTATTTATACATGAGAAATTTGAAAAATCTATTATTCGTCAAAACAGCCGAAGACCCAAAATTTTTTTACATTTCTGGCATCAATATAATCTACCTTATCACTCCCTACTAGCCGTTTCCCCAAACCAAGTCCGGAACCCTCCGTTTTTGACCCCTCTTTATTTATACATGACAAATTTGAAAAAATCTATTATTCATCAAAACAGCCGAAGACCCAAAATTTTTTACATTTCTGGCATCAGTATAATCCACTTTATCACTCCCTACTAGCCGTTTCCCCAAACCAAGTCCGGAATCCTCCGTTTTTGACCCCTCTTTATTATACATGAGAAATTTGAAAAAATCTATTATTCGTCAAAACAGCCGAAGACCCAAAATTTTTTTACATTTCTGGCATCAATATAACCTACCTTATCACTCCCTACTAGCCGTTTCCCCAAACCAAGTCCGGAACCCTCCGTTTTTGACCCCTCTTTATTTATACATGACAAATTTGAAAAAATCTATTATTCGTCAAAACAGCCGAAGACCCAAAATTTTTTTACATTTCTGGCATCAATATAATCTACCTTATCACTCCCTACTAGCCGTTTCCCCAAACCAAGTCCGGAACCCTCCGTTTTTGACCCCTCTTTATTTATACATGACAAATTTGAAAAAATCTATTATTCATCAAAACAGCCGAAGACCCAAAATTTTTTTACATTTCTGGCATCAGTATAATCCACTTTATCACTCCCTATTAGCCGTTTCCCCAAACCAAGTCCGGAACCCTCCGTTTTTGACCCCTCTTTATTATACATGACAAATTTGAAAAAATCTATTATTCGTCAAAACAGCCGAAGACCCAAAATTTTTTTACATTTCTGGCATCAGTATAATCCACTTTATCACTCCCTACTAGCCGTTTCCCCAAACCAAGTCCGGAACCCTCCGTTTTTGACCCCTCTTTATTTATACATGAGAAATTTGAAAAAATCTATTATTCGTCAAAACAGCCGAAGACCCAAAATTTTTTTACATTTCTGGCATCAATATAATCTACCTTATCACTCCCTACTAGCCGTTTCCCCAAACCAAGTCCGGAACCCTCCGTTTGTGACCCCTCTTTATTTATACATGACAAATTTGAAAAAATCTATTATTCGTCAAAATAGCCGAAGACCCAAAATTTTTTTACATTTCTGGCATCAGTATAATCCACTTTATCACTCCCTATTAGCCGTTTCCCCAGACCAAGTCCGGAACCCTCCGTTTTTGACCCCTCTTTATTTATACATGAGAAATTTGAAAAAATCTATTATTCGTCAAAACAGCCGAAGACCCAAAATTTTTTTACATTTCTGGCATCAATATAATCTACCTTATCACTCCCTACTAGCCGTTTCCCCAAACCAAGTCCGGAACCCTCCGTTTTTGACCCCTCTTTATTTATACATGACAAATTTGAAAAAATCTATTATTCGTCAAAACAGCCGAAGACCCAAAATTTTTTTACATTTCTGGCATCAATATAATCTACCTTATCACTTCCTGCTAGCCGTTTCCCCAAACCAAGTCCGGAACCCTCCGTTTTTGACCCCTCTTTATTTATACATGACAAATTTGAAAAAATCTATTATTCGTCAAAACAGCCGAAGACCCAAAATTTTTTTACATTTCTGGCATCAGTATAATCCACTTTATCACTCCCTACTAGCCGTTTCCCCAAATCAAGTCCGGAACCCTCCGTTTTTGACCCCTCTTTATTTATACATGACAAATTTGAAAAAATCTATTATTCGTCAAAACAGCTGAAGACCCAAAATTTTTTTACATTTCTGGCATCAGTATAATCCACTTTATCACTCCCTACTAGCCGTTTCCCCAATCAAGTCCGGAACCCTCCGTTTTTGACCCCTCTTTATTTATACATGAGAAATTTGAAAAAATCTATTATTCGTCAAAACAGCCGAAGACCCAAAATTTTTTTACATTTCTGGCATCAATATAATCTACCTTATCACTCCCTACTAGCCGTTTCCCCAAACCAAGTCCGGAACCCTCCGTTTTTGACCCCTCTTTAATAATACATGACAAATTTGAAAAAATCTATTATTCGTCAAAACAGCCGAAGACCCAAAATTTTGTTACATTTCTGGCATCAGTATAATCCACTTTATCACTCCCTACTAGCCGTTGCCCCAAACCTAGTCCGGAACCCTCTGTTTTTGACCCCTCTTTATTTATACATGAGAAATTTGAAAAAATCTATTATTCGTCAAAACAGCCGAAGACCCAAAATTTTTTTACATTTCTGGCATCAGTATAATCCACTTTATCACTCCCTACTAGCCGTTTCCCCAAATCAAGTCCGGAACCCTCCGTTTTTGACCCCTCTTTATTTATACATGAGAAATTTGAAAAAATCTATTATTCGTCAAAACAGCCGAAGACCCAAAATTTTTTTACATTTCTGGCATCAATATAATCTACCTTATCACTCCCTACTAGCCGTTTCCCCAAACCAAGTCCGGAACCCTCCGTTTTTGACCCCTCTTTAATAATACATGACAAATTTGAAAAAATCTATTATTCGTCAAAACAGCCGAAGACCCAAAATTTTGTTACATTTCTGGCATCAGTATAATCCACTTTATCACTCCCTACTAGCCGTTGCCCCAAACCTAGTC